GTCCGGTAAGAAATGACAGAAGAAACTGCGTGGTCACCCGAAGCAATGCCAGGCGCAAACACATTAAGTAACAGTCCTGATCAAACCTCGCGTGCCCTTCATACCTAAACCCTAGACTCCAAATCCTAGGTCCTAAACCCATCTACCTAAACACTAAACTCCAAATCCCAACCCCTAAACCTTTTTTACACAGGCTTGATTGGAGCTCGCCCGGCCAATGTCCCCCGTAGCACATCGCACTCGTGGCGAGATGCTCAAGGCTAAGTACGCACAATCCTCATGATTTTACGAGCTAATCTGTCGGATACGCTGTTGAAAGAGCTGACGAACTGATGATCCTGATAGATCGAGTCACTTTCTTGGCTCTGTAGAACCCTAAACCCTGAACCCTGAACCCTGAACCCTGAACCCTACCGCCCGAACCTGGCCTGCACCCGTTCGAGCCCCGACCGACGTGCTCGGTTCAGGGCTACATTGAAGTCCTGAAAAGGGATCAGGTTTAGGGTTCGGGGTTGTAGGGTTCAGGGTTTTGGGTTGTGGGTTTTGTTTTGTTTTTTGAACCCCTGTCCCCGACTGCAGTATCTCCTGCAGGGTTCAAGGTTTTCGACTCTCACTCTCGCACGCAGCAGGTTCAAGGTTTAGGGTTGTGGGTTTTGGGCTTGAGCCTCCAATATCATCCAGTTCAGACAGCTTCCTTCTGCTACATGTCTTGCCTTGCTGAAACACCAAATAAATTAGGGAAGTCTCTGCAAGCTACGTCGGGCTGGTGATTCTGATGCAACCCCAAACTCTAAACCTTACATCCCCAAACCCAAACCCTAAACCCCAAACCCTAAACAACCCTCCCCCCCCCCCATTTTTGGGGGATTTGGGGATCGCTGGGAGTCCTTGGGCACCCAAGTCCCGGTTTCGGGTTTTGGAGGTTTCAGGAGTTGCGGTGTTGGGTGTAAGAGGTTTGGTTTAGGAGCTCGGGTTTAGGGTTTAAGAGGTTTGGGGGTTTAAGGGTTTAGGCGTTTAGGTTGGCTTGCCTCGGGCCTGGATTGTGCGGCCTGGGGTCTGAGGTTTGAGCAGTTTCAGGTGTTTGGGGCCCTCGTTTTAGAGTTGAGTTGGGGAGCTCGGGGCTTAGGGTTAGGGCCCCTCGCAGTTACGTGTTTGCTGCTCGGGGCCTCCAAAACCTAAGCCCGAGAACCCAAGCCTATATAGCCTTGACCTGCAACATCCCAAATGATCAGGGGACTTGGTGAGGAATGGGATCACGAGTACCCTGATGCTGTCCGGCTTACGCAACCTACCTTAACCCACCAGAACCTGCTTTTGCGTAGGGGGTCCATATGAACTCCATATTAGGGTTTATAATAAGAAAAATAGGTTTTGGTAGGTCAAGGTACTTACTCATAACCCACCCAATACGTAAGTAAGAAGGAGAACCTAAAAAGCCCTCAAGGCCTAAACTTCTAAAGACGCTGTTGAAAGGAACGCCAAACAACACGGAAACGCCGAAAAAGGACACACCAAAGACAAGAAGAACAAAGCTTCGCATTTGGTCTTCTAAACCCTAAACCCCTCAACCTTGTTTCTAAACCCTAAACCCTTTTGGCTAAACCCTAAACCCCGTTGGTCAAACCCAAAACCATTTTCGCATCTGGTTTGCAGCGACTCAACCATAAACCCTTTTTGCATCAACCATTTTTTTCACAAGGGACTCGGCTGCTGCCCTTGCTGCCCAGCTTGACCCACAAGTCAACCATAAACCCTAAATCCCTAATCCCTTTCGGCTAACCCCTGCACCGTTTTGGCTAAACCCTAAACTCCAAAGCCCTAAACCCTTTTGGCTAAACCCTAAACCCTCTAAACCTTTAAGGACCAGTCCAGGAGGGCCGTGACGTCGGGAAGGTCGGTGAGGAGAACCTCCTGGCTCTGAAAAGTGTGGGACTTGGGTTTAGGGTTTTTGGGATATTAGGGTTTAGGGTTTATGGGTTTTGGGTTTAGGGATTGATTTAAGGGTGTAAGGTTCAGGGTTTAGGGTTTTAGGGTTTAGGGTTTAGGATTTAGGGTTTAGGATTTAAGGGTGTGTGCTGCGGGCTTCAATTTGGGGCCCCCATATAGAAGCCTATATCATTACCAACAATATTCTTCCGGGTTTCTGACTGTCATGATACTAGATTATGCCCCCAAACCCTGGCCCAAGAGATCAGGCCCCCAAAATAAACGCTAGCCGCGAGCCCTACATCAGCCCTGCCCTAGACCCTAAACCCTAAACCCTAAACCCTAAACCCTAAACCCTAAACCCTAAACCCTAAACCCTAGACCCTAGGCCCTAGATCAAACTCTAAACCCGGGAGCCCACACCACAAGACGAGGGCATCTTCGGCCCTCACAGACGAGTGGTGACGGGCGGTCTTTGCCTAAGCCCTTCAAGTTGAAAACGCCCGGTCTTCTTATTTCGAGGCTTTAGAGTCCGTGTAGGGTATTGGGTTTGGAGTTTTCGTTTTTGGCGGTTTAGGGTTTAGTTTTTTTGGGTTTCGGGTGAAGGGTAAAGGGTATAGAGTTTAGGGTTTCGGGTTTTTTGGTGTTTAGAGCTTATAGCGCCTGAGGGCTCAAAGTGTGGGGCTTTGGGTTTGGGTGGAAGGAGAAACATAAGCACGAAGCAAGTATCGACAATCTTCCGAATCTAGTCCCTAAACCCTAAACCATAAACCCTAAATCCCATACCCCAACTTTTTGGCTTCTACTGCAATACCCCGTAAAGTCCAGAGAGTTTACGGTGCAAGAGAAGAGTTGCTTCTCTGATGCGGCGGTTGCTTCGCACCGATTGAACGCATGTCTGTTTATAGTCCGTTATACTGATAGTATAACATCCCCTTATAGTCCCTTATAGTGATAGTATAACGTCCCCTTTAAGTCCCCTACAGTGATTGTATAGCATTTCCCTATACTCCCTTATAGTGCTAGTACAGCCCATTCTATATAACGAGAGCACGATCATCGCGAAACACGCCATGCAAGGTACAAGAGGTTTAAGACACGGTTCAACGAGGCTTCTGCGGGTTCGAGGCTTTAGATGGGGGTTTCCGAAAACAGAGGACCCTAACGTAGTACCCTAAATAGTAGGATCCCTATTGTAAGGATCCCAAAACAGGGTACCCCTTATTTTCGGAAACTCCCAGACGTATTCGGAACAAATTATCCGGCCCCGCCGGCACAACCCCCCCGAGCCTGGGCACCCAGAAGAGCGCAGCCTAGCCCGACGAGACCTTTCTTCGGGTTGCCCCGGGACTCATTACAATCTCTAAACCCTAAACCCCAAACCCTAAACCCAGAGTTCATTCTTCATTTGTCTACTCTTCTTTGTCCTTTTCGTGAGGCCGGGAGCATGAGAAGCTGCGAGCCGTTACTTTGGGAGCTGTCTTTGGTTACTCGCCCCTTTGGTGGCAGCTAGGTTTAGGGTTTAGGGTTTAGGGTCTAGTCCACTAACTAGTCGTGAATATTACGTAGGCGTGGTCCCGTCAACACCATCTGGGTCTTGTGGCATGGGACTTCTTCATGGAGGCAGGAGCACGGCTTGCCTTGTCGTTCGCTACTTGACGAGTGCTCAACACAATCGCAATGCCTATGAACCCTGAAACCCTCAGCCCGAAACTTCCAGCCCTACACCGGAGACCTGCCAATCTTCAACTTAAAGCCCTGAGCCCCGAAAATTAAACCCCAAAACCCTCAAACCCCTTTTGAGACCCCTGAAGAACCCGAAGTAGAACACCTAAGAACTATACCCCAGCCTTGCCTGTGCCACTGCCAAGCTCAAGCACTCGCCGCCCCTCCAGGCGCGTGCGCTGAGCCGGATGGGCCAGGTACTCCAAAAGGACCTGGCCAACAGAACCCAGAGACTCCAATATCCCTTAACTAAGGAATATTCCTTAAATTATAGTAGGATGGATCCTTAATATGATTTAAGGAATATTCCTTAATTAAGGGATATTGGAGTCTCTGGGAACCCTAAACCCCAAGATTTGCCCTTTTCAGCATGGGCTTGGAGTACCCTAAACCCTACATGGGGTTGGAGGTGGGCCAAGGAGTCGGATCAAGAGTTTCCACGGCCGTGGCCCACACCTGAAAGGATCGAATTCCGAGGGCATCTGAGACGCCAGAAACGCTAAACCCGAAACCCTAAACCCTATAAACCCTATATAAACCCTATAAACCCTATAAACCCTAAACAAACCTTGACAACACACACGGGCCATTGCCGTCGTCCCCTGCACCCTGAAATCTGAAGCCCAGAGCCTAAGCAAAAGCAGCAGCAACTGCCCCCTAAGCCCTAGAGACCCTAAAAGAAAATGCAGCTGCAGCGAAGAGGCCAGGCCACCATCCCACACGCCCCCGCCGATGCCCAAGTCGCCCCGGCACTCTGCGAGCCTCTGCTGCGTCAGGATTTGAGGGTGTAGAGTTTAGGGTTTGAAGGTGCGCGCTGTAGCGTAAAGGGTTTGAGGGTGCAGGGTTTAGCGTTTACGCAAACCCTTTCAGTGAACACGTCCGACGGTACTGTGTGGCACATCCGCATCAATTCAGACGAGGGCTTTGAAGCCTTGCAACCCTTTACTCCAGTAACCCACTGTCAAAATCAGATGCCTCTTTCAGCACGTTGATTTTAAGATTCAACCAACACCAAAAAGCCATAATAAAAATCTGCCACTGGACATCCTCGTTTAGAAACCCTTAACGATCCCAACCGAATGAAACGGCAGGAATCAGGCCTCGGGTGTCATAGAGGAGCCAAGGGTAGAGTCGGGCTTGGGGCGATCAAAAAACAATAAGGTGTATTGCCATACTGCTAACAAAACCCTGAACCCCGAAGTCCTGAGCCCTCGCGTGCTCAGCCAGCCAAACTCAACACCAAAAGCTCTGCTTAAACAAGCCTCTAGCCACACACACACACACACACATACATGTGATCCCCAAGCGAAGGCAAGAAACACATCCTTTGAATACTCCGACTACTTCAAAGTCCTTTGGAGCTGCATCCGACTCAAAATCCCTCCTCCGTACCCCTGCGTAGTGCCTTCTCCTGGTACTGTTAGGGAGATGCTCACCTTGCTGAAAGAAGCGGACAACCCTGAAACAAAATCTCAAAACCCTAAGGCCTAAACCCCAAACCCTTTTCAGCACGGACTGAGCTGCCGGCCAGCACCCATGCAACCCTCACCCCGTCTTNNNNTCAAGGGATCTTCAGTCTACGCTTCCGTCAGTTGTCATCAACCCCAAAGCCTAAGCCCCGAACCCTAAACCCCAAACCCTATAAATCCTCAAACCCAAACCCCTAAACCCTAAACCCTAAACCCTAAACCCTAAACCCTAAACCCTAAACCCTAAACCCCTAAACCCCTAAAGCTCAGGGCCGAGGTGCAGGAGGCTCCCGCAGCCGGGGACCTCCACCAGGCGGCACTGCTCCAGGGACAGCCTCGCCGCAGCCGGAAGACGGGCGCCTCCAAGAGGGGTGTAGGATGGTTTAGGGTTTTGGGTTTAGGGTTTAGGGTTTAGGGTTTAGGGTTTAGGGTTTAGGGTTTAGGGTTTAGTGTAGGATGTAGGAATCTAGGATTTATAATAAGGGTGGGGGTTTAGGGTGTAGGGTGTAGGGCGGTGTTGGGTTGAAGGTTTAGGATGTTTTTTTCTAGGGTTTTTGGGGGTTCTAACCCTGAACCCTAAACCCTAAAACCCTAAACCCTGAACCCTAAACCCTAAAACCCTAAACCCTAAACCCTAAACCCTAAACCCTTGGGCTTTTGGGGTTGCTTTCAGACTTGGGGCCGACTGTGAGGCTTCTCTGGGCTTTTTGGAGCAGCGTGAGGCTCGCAGGGCTCGGAAACCTAGGTGTAGCAGCCCCCAAGTATCCCTTACGGTTTAGGGTTTAGGGTTTAGGGTTTAGGGTTTAGGGTTTAGGGTTTAGGGTTTAGGGTTTAGGGTGCAAAGGCCTCCTGCTCCTTGAGAGCGGGACCCGACGCTCGAAGAAGGGGCCTTAATAGTTAGAATAAGGTTTTTTGGTCTTTTTATACTATTCATAAGGAACCCCCAAAAAATAGTACTGTTAATTATTTAGGCACCGTTGCTTTAAGAAGGGAGTGCTGGTGAACGTGGGCCTCCATCATCGGTTGGACCGGGTGTCGCCGGGCGCAAGAGAAAGGGCGGCGAGAGCACCGGCAGCAACGGACGCTCCAGAGCGCCGGCAGCCACGTGCCTCTTTTAAAATGAAGCTGTAGGGCTGCAGAATGATGTCAAAAACCCTTGAAAAATCTGAACCCCACAAGCCGAAACGAAAAAGCCCAAGTACTAAACCTTCGAGCCCCTAAGGTCCTAAACCTCCCATCCCAAAACCCCGAGTTTGCCGAAAGCCTCCTCTTTCTCCACCCATGAGAACCCATGAGTCCCGTGACGCTTAGAATAGGGTTTTGGGGTATACTATACTATATGTATAGTAAGGTTTAGGGTTTATGGTTTAAGGCTTAGGGAATCTATACTATAAGTATAGCAAGGAACCCTCAAAATAGTATAGGTCATTATGAAGGCCCCTACAGTAGATGTTCCAGACATCGGCAGCGCGATTCAGTTTTTCACGACTCGGAGTTTAGGGAGCGCCCAGGGTTTAGGATTGAGGGTCTATGGCTTGAGCCTGGGACCTTCAAGGGTTTAGGGTTTAGGGTTTAGGGTGCGTAGATATGGCCCGAATGCAAACACCAAACTACAAGTAGTAGGATCCAGGATGTCCCAATCAAACCCTTACAGAGGAGGACCCCGACATCTGAGAAACCTAATTACATCTCCCCAAATAGATTTACAAAACCTTCGAGAATCGAAAGCCCTTGAAATCCCCCGAAACACAACTCAGAACACATACTAAACCCTAGTGAAACCCCAAACCCCCAACCCCCCCCCCGCCCTTTTCAGACAATCCCCAGCTGCGTGCTTGGCCAAGCCGAGGCGCAGCATCACGGGCCCAGGCACCTCGCGCGGGAGCTCCCGAAGACCGCAAGGCTTAGGGCTAGGGTAACTTGTGGGGGTTTGGGGTAGGGTTTAGGGTTTAGGGTTTAGGGTTTAGGGTTTAGGGGGTTAAGTTTTACAAGATTTTGTCGAGTTTTTAAGTACGGCTTTGGGATTTGGGGCGTAGCGTTTGGATGTGGGTTTCGGATTCAGGGCTTTGGATTTGGGGCACAGCTCAGCCCCCAACCCCTCAGCCAAGACTCACAGGAGCAAAAAGGGGGCCCCGCCCGAAACCGACGAGTCGAAATTCAAGGTCAAGCCCACACCCTCTCCAAACAGCCAGCTTTGACGTTCAAGCTGGGTCCGTTTTAAAAGCGAACCCATGGGGGGTCCATGTTAGCGTGGCGGAAAGTGTAAACCCCGACATTGTCCAGAAGGTTGGAGCGGCCCCCTAACAGGTCCCAGGCGACCCTACTCTGCACTTCCGGAGGCCGTAGAGTCGTTAGACCCTAAACCCTAAGCCTAAACCCCTAAGCCCTAAACCCTAAGCCCCAAACCCTAAACCCTAAGCCGTCGGTTTATGAAGCCGGAAGCTGACTGAAGCCCTAACCCCCCCCCCCCCCCCCCCCCCCCCC